ATTTACTTTTAAAACTTTAGTTTTATTTATTTTAAATGTATTTGATTATACTATTTGAGTTGTTTACATTGTTTGTTTGACATAAAACAATTGTAAATTATCAAATAAATTTAATAAAATTATATTAAAATAACTAAATTTACATATTTTTAAAATTAAAAGTGTATCGAGTAGGGATTGAGATTCCTTACTCAAAGTATTAAAGTTGTCATGCATACTGGATAGACATCCTGACAATCCTACATTGTCCAAATTCAATCTCTCTCATCTCTGTCAGAGGCGTGGGGACGAGTACTTGTCAAAGCACTCTGAGGTTCAAGTAAGTGACTTTGCATACTAATCTTTTAATAAAGATTAGTAATTAGAGTTAATTATTTGTCTTTCATGTTAAACATATATATATAAATATTATAATGAGCTTACCATTAACTCTGACTCATTAATCACAAATGACTTTCATTATTTCTATTAATCTCTCGTCAGTGACTATTAGTTTCCTTAACTGCTCATTAATAATTATTATAACTCAGATTAATTATAAGTTAATTACTGTTTTGGACCCATTGATCACTTCTTTACTGTGGATCGCCCAATCATTAACTCACAGTTTAGTTATACATTACAAAAAGATTAAATTAAATTAAATTAAAATTTTGAATAATAATTATTCTTAAGTTTTATAAAAATTAAGAGATCAAAATTATATTTAATCCTTAAATAAATAACATTTAAATATAATTAATGAATAAAAAAGTGCATGAAAGAATGCAACACATATGCAGAGCCCCACACACATGTGTGTGTGTGTATATATATATATAGACCGAAGAATAATTGTAGGTGACCAGCACAGAAAATGTCGATCTCAATCTCAATTCATGTTTTATTTGTGGTTTTTTTTGCAGGGTGTTTGAATTTGCAGAATTCAATTGCAGCCATTCAGAAAAATGACTCAAACGTTTCTATAGATATAAACATTATAAGCCTTTCCATTGAGAACGACTTACCAAGCTCACCAAAACTTTTCTTTTATTCTGATTTTCAACAAAAAGTGGAAATTGGGAATGGGAATAGAAATGCTTACACAAAATTGCTGAACATGAATAACCACAGCGGTGTATTCGTATGGAAGCAGTGTGCACAGTTCAGCTTGATACCTAGCATGGAAAACGGACATCAACGTATTTTTTGGTCCGTCAGAGAAGATGCTTTGTATCACAGTTGGGACAATGCAAATTGGGAAAAAAAGGAATCTTGGGCATCTTGTTAGCCATTCTCTCATTTATTAATAATCAATAAATCATATAAAATAAAATAATTTGTAATTCTCTATTGCTTCGTCCAAATTTTAATTATGACTAATCCAGTTCTCATCTTTAATTTTAAATTAATTTATTAGATTAAAAGCGTTTCATAAATTAATTCATAAAATTAAAATTAGCTCATCCTTTCTTCAATTTTGTTCGTACTTTTTTTTAAATAAAAAATATTTCAATTCATTCTGTATAGCTCTAAAGTCATGCATCAACTTAATATAATTCTTATTTTAATTAATTATTTATTTAAAATAATTTTATGTGTAAATAAATATGAGATTAAATTATTAATATAAAAATAATATGAAAATACGAGGTTATATTATTAATATTTTAATTTATTATTTTACTTAACAAAACTTCATACATTAATAAATACGAAGTTGTTTGAGTTTTATTATTCTCATTACAAATTTATTATAAAATAAATTCAACGTTCATGTGATCATTTATAACTATTAAAGATTTTTATTTATTTATACCTCATATTTGATGGCATGTAAAGATACAATTGCAAATCTTTAAATTAAAAAGAAAAACACTTGAAAGTTAATTAATTTTATTAATTAAAAACATTAAATGTATTTTACATGTATCCAAAAAAAACATTAAATGATATTTTTTATCTTTTCTCTATACTTTTATGATGTTTTTCTGTTCTTAAATTATTATGCTTTCTTGAAGTACAAATGGAAATACACACACTATAAGTGTATTTATTTATTATTAAAATAATTACTTTTATTTAAAAAATAATTAGAATCAAACAAACAAGCAGTTAAAAAAGTAACCAGATAATTATGTTAATTTAAAAACTATAAAAATAATAATAATTTGATCACAATAAAAAGAAAATCCTCTTTACTACAGTTATTTTCCATTACATAATAAAGTATCTTCATCATTTTACATTTTTTTTTTGTCAGTTATCTTGATTAATAATTTTATGAAATACTATTAATATTTCAGTTATGGCTTAATTTGTGGGTTTGTAAATAATGAGAATGACACCAAAACCGTTAATTATGACCAAAGCTAAATGAAGCATTGAATTTAATTAAATGAAATGTAGACAAAACCAAATGAATCAAAAGTGTTTATCAGAATGAAAGCATATGAATATTCACACGTCTTAATGGTTTCTAACCGCGAGTTAATTGGATTTATTACGAGTTTGACTTAGGTTAGATTTAAGAAAAATATAACTTTTTATGTGGAATAGTTTTTAATTCGGCTCACTCGAGTTAAATCTATGATGAACCGGATTGACTCACTAACTTATCTAATTTAATTTAATTATTTATTATTTTTTGTTTTAATATTATTGGTTATTTTTTTTATTATATTATAGATGGGGATAAAAAAATGTTTTAGAGAAAAATATTATAAATTTATCTATTCAATACTTTGATATTATAAATGAACAAGTGATAAAAAATATCAATATTCAAAACTTATTTGTTCGACATTGTTTTTGGATTACGATTCAATTATATAATATTTTTTTTATTTTGAATTGTCTTTGAAGTTTAACATATTTTAGAGTAAAATTTATTTAAATTTGAAGTAAAAAAATTATAATTTTTTTATTTTAAAAGAACTTATAATTAAGTGAATCAATCTATTTAACCCATCAATCAGTGACAAAATGAATGAAATTTAAGTTTTTTTTCAACTCATTAACAAGTTAGTCGAATTAGGTTAGTTGAATGACCACGCATCGAGTCACGTCTTTTAAGATAGATAGAGAGAAGCAGAATGGTAGCTGACAAGCACAGAAAATGTGGATCTCAATCTCAATTCGTGTTTTCTTTGTAGTTTTCGTTGCAGGGTGTTTGAATTTGCAGAGTTGGGTCTATGCTACTACTTCAGATGCAGCCAGCCAGAGAAATGACTCAAAGAGTTCAGTAGATATAAATCTTATAGGACTTTTCATTGAGAAAGACTTGCCTCAACGTTCAGTGTAATACCTACTACCGAAAAAGGACATGAACGTATTTATTGGTCCGTTAGAGCAGATGCTTTGTATCACAGTTGGGACAAAACAAATTAGGAAACAAGGAACCTTGGGGTCCTTGATAGCAATTCTCTCATTTACTATTAATCAATAATTCGTACCAAATCAAATAACTGTTACTTATCTCGCTATTACTTAATCCAAATTTTAATTATGATTAATCCAAGTTCCTCACCTTTAATTTTAAACTAATTTATTATATTAATAGTGTTTGATAAATTACTTCATAAAAGTAAAATAACAAGTTTGAGTTTTTCAATCTTATTGATTAATGCTTGTGATAATTTTGTTTTCGTATTCACAATTTTTTTTTTAAATTTTACCTTTTTAAATTTAAATAATTATTTATTATAAAAAAAATATTTTTAAATTTTATTCTATTAATAATATTTTTCGAATTCGAATAATTATTTATAATAAAAACTATTTACATAATAAAATATTATATATTATTTTAATTTATAATTATTTTTAATAAATTTTTACTATAATTAAAAAAACAAGTGTAATTATGTTTTTACTAGTTTTTACGCAATAACAATAATATCAGGAATTCGTTTATTTTGTGATTGTTTAAAATAGTATGCATTAATCAAAGCGTTCAAGAAGATTAGTGAGTACGATATCAAAATCAAAGAAATATAGTATAATATTACCGAAAAATATACCAAGTAATAGTCATATCTGCAAGGCCTATATATTAACAAAAAAAAAATCCTATGAAGCATATAAGAAAAATTAAACGAAACTATTTTAATGCCGAGCTCTAGAATTTAATAAAATGATACGTATATATAGAAAACTTATCTTCTATATCTTTTTATCTTTACTTTTTGTTTTAATCGAAGAACTTTTATTTTTTATAAAATAATTTTCATCATCTCTTTGACTAATTTGATAATTAAAAAACTTTAAATCTTTAAAATATTTCATGTTATTATAATCTTAATTATATTTTTATTTTCTTTTAAATAATTTAATTCAATAATATATTAAATTATTTATGAAACTCATTTAATCATTTTAGTTCTTTTAATATTATTTATTTCTATCATATAAAATATTACTTTGATAAATTTTATACAATTATTTTTATTTTCTAATTTATTATCCTAAATATAATTTTATAATCACAATTATCTTTTATTTCCTATAATATAATAATATGTTAAATATATTTCTAGTTCTTAAATTTTTATAAGAAATCGAAGTTCATTCCAATTTCAAAGTTCAATATAATTTTATCCTCAAACTTTAAAATTCAATAAATATATTCCTTCTAACCAATTACACACACACACACGCACACTTAACACTGTTGGTTGTATGTAACATAATGTTGCTCTCATCTTCTAATTACCAAGTGAACTAGAATCAACTCAATGCAATTACCTTATCGTAATGAACCACTTATTTTACAGTTACCATTTTAAAAACTAATTAATAATTTATATTTAAAAATAATTTATTTAATGTTTTAAAAATTAGACTTAACTAACTAATTTATTACTCATTATAATTTAACCCCTACAGAACAGACACGAGCTCACACACGTATGTTTAAAATCTGTAAAATACACACATTTAGCTATTCCATGACTCATCTTCATTTCACCTTTATCTTTCTTCTCTATGAAATCCCTCCTCGTATACCACAGCGGCACTCACAGAAGTTCATTACTATGAAAAATACAAATCAATGTATGCACAAGGTTACGTCATATCCCAGTTACAGTTTGAAACATCTAACATATGTACAAGTTTAAGTAAACACCGGAAAGTAAAAGACTGGACATAACAACGGAAGCCCATCAGAGTAATTTCCAAAACATTATAATCAGACAGCCATGGTAGCTTGAAGCCAAGGAAAGGTTGACATTTTCATCTATGAATCATACCTTTTTAAGTATATAGATTTATGAAATATATGCCTTGACCAGATCTGTGTCGCTGCAAACTAAACCCGTCCTCGGGCAGATGATTCTACCATTATTCTTCTTCGCCATCTCTTCAAGAGCCTGCAAAAGAACACCAAATAATTAATAAAATTATCCTCATAAAAAGTGCTTATCCATGGAATATCTAGACGAGTATCTAGAATAACAGGAACCTTAGTGCTATAAACATATCCATTGGGCAAGACTTGCGGTGGGTTCTCAGTGTCCATTAACTCCTTTGTTATATAGCAAACAAGCTTAGAATGATGCTGCTTTGAGTACGGCAATGGCAGGGCTAATGTGCGGAAAGCTTCCTGTGATAGCGGATCTTCTTTTGTGCAATCATCCTCGTAACAATATCTTTATCAAGTCAAGGGACATATCTAAGCTTTAGCAATGCATACACTAACACTAACCAATCAAATTTACAAGAGGCTATAGTAATACAAGTATGATCCTTGAAATCATTCACAACAAATTAACACACACGGGTCATTATCATGAATTGATCCATAAGGGCTCAAGACAGATTATCAGTGTCAAGTATGAAATTTCATACAAAGAATGCTGTTCAACTTCAATATATATGGAGGGTTTTAAAATAACTGCATGAAAAGGGAACCGAACCACTCCAATCAAAAGGAATTTTCTTTAGTAGGCAAACCATTTAATACCATTAATTCCCTCAAAAGGATAAGGAAAGTCCAAGTGTTTAAAATATTTTTTTGGAAGGATGGCGGGGGTGTTTCAGTTATATGTATGCAAACATGGCTATCCACACACAGCATAGAAGCATCTAGCATTAAAAGAAGTGTTTCCAGATGATAATCAACAGTTCAAGTTGTCAATGGATACGGTGTCTTGAGAGCGGAAAGCCCAGCTTGCAGATAGATATTGAGCAAGGGTTCTAACGTCATGCCATATAACTTGCAGAACTCCTGTTTGAATTGGTCCACTAGAAAATCCCATTGCTTATCTTCAAATAAAACCTGTAAAAGAACATGTAAGAGAAAATTATAAAGATTTTAGTGCTGAAATGTCAGCTCCTCAAGACAATAATGCAGTAGGAAGCAAAATTTCTGGCAAAGAATTACAGTTTCAACAATATAATGTTTAGACTTTGTGTGAAATACTACAGGCATAAAAATCTTCGTCAACAAGTGATCAGTGGAACATAATAACCCGTGCAAATAATATTTCTTGTTGTTAACCTAATCAATACAGGATTTTTTTTTTCTTGGCCGTGTGAATTACATAAGACAAGTGCTAGGTAAAAGTCCAATCGATTATTGCAATACTAGAGAATATAGCACAACTTACAGGTTTAAGACAGTTCGATTTGTTGACTACAATTATTAACAACTAGAAACATTTAAAGATTACATCAATTAGCATATTGGTTGTCATTCCTTTCTTTTCCACAGAGTAAAGTGTATATAATTAGCTTGAAGGACTACATGCTCTTGTACAACGGAGTTAATGTTTTTAACAGCAAAAGAAATGAAACAACTCTATCTTGTACTGTGTTATTGACATTTACATAGTTATCAGGTCCCAAACCACATCATGAATCAGTCGTTCAACTTTTCAATCATGAATGGGGGGAATCACAATGTATGATAAAAACTTAAACATACAAGCGCAAAACTAAATTACTCAGAAGTCACTAATTCATTCTTAAATGTCACATTGCTAGAGGAACTCGTGAACTCCATTAGCACCCTTTCTATTCCATTCACATAACCATTGAAGACTTCTAAATCCTCGGATGAAAAGTGGGTAGGGGGGAAATGTAAAACAAATGTGGGGTGATACTAAAGGGTATCAAATTGCAATTCTAATTACAAATTCTAGAATTCTAACAACAGGGAACATGAATACAATCCTAACACCATTGCATTGAAAGATAATAAAATTAAAGACACCAGTATCGCTAACGCACAAAATCACTCAAAGACAAGGTATACTCACCTTGTATGTGGCACATTCAGTATCCTTTTTAAAAGCTAGTGTTGCAAGGACTCGCTGCAATTCTTTCATGTGAGTGGCTCCCCATGGCGCAAGATATTTCCTAGCATACGTGATAGCTCTCAAATTGTTCTCAGCTCTTACTAATTCTATGAACTCTTGAAGTCTCAACTGGAACTCCAATTTGCTCTGTCGTCATTAAACCAACAGAAATTTGCAATGGTAAATATGATCTGATGCCTTAAGTGTATTTGTGTATTTATTATTAACAAGTGTCATCCTATGAGAAACTCTATTGGCACTGGTGGGCATTTGAGAAAGTCTGGATTTGCATTAGTTTATAATTTTATTTTTATTTTTATTTTTATTTTCAAACTTTAAGCAGACTAAAGACATTTTTATACTAGAGCAATACGGTGGTTATCCTTCTCTTAAATATGAATATTTTGTTGTTGCAGTATGTCTGAGATGATTTCCAATTCTAAATGCATTAAAAGAAATGCCGATTGGTATGAACCCAAAAGCCTAAACCATGACTCAGCCTATGGCACGGTGCACCAACTGTTAAAAAGATCAAACAGCAATATGAACCTTAGACTTCTTCAGCCTTGATTTATTATCAGCACACCATGCTAGGGCAGGTGCAACATCCTTATTTTGCAAAGCATCAATAACCTTTTTTGCTTCTTGGAATACATCAATATCAACAAGATCCTGAGACACCAACATAAGTGTTATTATTGTTAGAATCAATACCAAAAGAAAATGCACATTTCAAACAATCACACATTCGATAACCTTGTTCATTACCTGCAAGTTGCTGCTTTCTGCAAGTTTCACTGCAGTGTCATAGTATGACATCCTCAACATATAATCAACAAGAATCCGCTTCAAGCGAGTGTTATTCCATTCTGGCATGTTTTCCGCATCGGCAGATTCTAAGTGATCAAGACGCGCTCGACACTTTTGAGCTTGTAAATGCTCTGCCCGACTTCCCTCCTCCAACTTTAACATATTTTTTGCAAAAATCCAAATCATGATCATCATAAAACTCATGAAAGGCGAACATAAATTTCCAATTAAGCAACAGCTATACTTAATAACAAACGTAATCAATCATCGGAACAACATGAATCAAAAACCATGCTACAGATCATAACTTCACATAGTAACCCCTAACCACATTACACAGAGTATTATTAAGCACTCCCAATACAAAATTAACTATGCCAATCGATAATACAACGTTTGTTTTTCTTTATCACGCGATTAAACGAAATTCAAATCAAGAAAATTAGGTCAGCAGTTTACCTTTCTCTTGAGCCCTTGCAAGCGGGAGACAAGGGAGTTAAGATGGTTGACGGCGTCATCTGGGGAGAGGTCAGCGGCTTCGTTGACGCCGGATATGACGGCGGACATCTCCTTCTCGACGGCGCGGTGGTTGGCACGGAGGGTTTTTTTGTAGTGCTCGAAAGGAACCCTGAGGAACTGGTGCTCCAGCTTCAGAGACTCTGTCAGTTGGGGAAGGTTCGACGGTGGAGGCGGCGCCGGGTTGAGGGTGGCGGCGATCGGAGTTCCGGTGGCGTTGTTGCCGTTGGGAAGGGAATCCATTTCCATCGGGGAACAATGGAGAGGAAAATAGAATCTCAGATTGCTAAGTGGATTGGATAAACTATGCTTGTACTTCAAAAAATAAAATAAAATTATATTTGCCTTAATTTTACACTTGTTTAATTTCATTAAATTCCCATATGGCTAACTATAGGATTAATTTTTTCTAACACGACCTTAATATCTCAATGTTTTCAATTTCTTTTTGTTATTTAGTTTTCTCTTTAATTTTGATTATTAAATATTTGAATTCAAAATTTTACAATTTATACGAATTATATTCGGTTTTAGTTTAAATAAAATCGTTTCTTATAAAAAAAATAGGTATACTTGATATCACTAAAAAATGTTGTATCACATTGATTTCTTTCCATCGTTGAATATCTATCATCATTTATGAACTAATAACACGTTGCAGACTTTGTTTTCTTAATTAAAAAAACTACATTAACATATAAGCTTTAAAAACAAAATAAACTATAGGAGCACTTAACAACTTTTAAAATTGTAAAAGTTTTATTAGTTAAAATCTCCATGACTAATAATCAAATCTATTTTAAAGTTCAACAAAATTTACTTATATCCTTATATTTAATGTCTATCTACAGTTTATAATGAATAAGGATAAATTTCAAATTTGATCTCTTCAATTCTTTATTTTAAATTTTGATCTCTCTAGTTTTTGTGATTTTAATTTTTAAAATTCTTATCTCTGCGTACGCTTGTTTCTATATTTTATACTTTAACTAACTAAACTATTTATCGATGATACCTTAAATGAATATACTAAAATTAGAGTTCAATTAGATTAACAATAAAACATGTAAAATTGAACATAACAAAACTGTCTATCCAGGCATGGAAAAAAGTTTAAAGTAAACCTTTTGATACAAAAACCATGAGGAGCTTCCCACTACGAAAAACAACACCTCACAAGAGGATCTAAGCTAAATTAGTATTTACATTTGATCACGACACAAAACTGGCGAACCAGGGTAACTAATTTTGGCGAGAGATTTTCCGGTAAAACACTGTTCATTAGTTCATGTTTCAAGCCATGTCAAGGATCCCATTATCAAATACTTGCTTGGAAGCTCTCCAGAAGACGGAGCAAGGTATGTTATCTTCTTTCTGTAAGTTACAAAACAACAATACAAGCATTCATCATAAACTGCAAAATAAAACGAATTATTAAATGCAACGATACAAACCTCTGAATATCAATGTCTGTTACATAAATGAACCCGGCAACATTGCTGCACCAGAAAAGACATGACATGGTAAGAAGACGTACTTGTAGGAACAAGGAATGGAGATGAGGACGTAATATCTCAAGAATGGCCATTTTTTATGTATAGAAGTGTCAGAAAATTAAATAGATAAACAAAGTTTTAAGAATAACCATTTCCATTAAAGCAAATCAAATCATATCGGATGGATAATTTCAAGTAGACTTCAAATTAACAGCATAAAGGGTCACCAGTTTCCATTTGGCCCACACTGCTTATCAAATAATAATCGATACACAAATCTCTCTAGTGTCACCATATCTGTACAAGGGACACTACTCCTCACACATACAAGCAACCACATCACTTTACAACAAAACAAAATGCATGATCAAACTTACTGGCTTCAAAGAAGTTTAAAACTTTATGATTAAAATTGGAACCACAGTTACCTGGAAATGATCTCATCAGGTTCCTTGGCAAATGAGACAGCAAGGACAAGATGGAGCAAATCACGATTTATGTTTACAGGTACAACTCTTGTTGGATCTGCAGCAGGTTCCGCTCCAATTGGCAAGGCTGACCGTGGGGCCTGTGGCCCACCACCAACTCGATAAACAAACAAATCACTAAAATTTGCAATATTAGAATGTGGAGAAAGATCATTTGAAAGGCCATAGAAGTATTCCTGTGTCAAAATCAAATGGCAGTAATGTTAAACAGTGTCCAGGGGGAGGAAAGAAAAGAAAACCCTCATCCTACTACACTTTCCAAGGCTAATAAACAAATTGTTCGTATTTGTAAAAGTGATCTACTACTGTCAATATAGTTTTTAGATTGCACGAGAATAGACATTCTAAACACCGACTAAGGGTACATGAATATCGAGGAAGCAGCAAATTTCAAGATAAAAAAAAATAAAAAATTACCAACCGTTTCACTATTTATGTTGACAACGGAAACATCACTAAAATTAACAATCTTTTCGTTTAGATTTTTCAAATCTTCCAGAATACAAAACTACTGCTTGTAACTTAACAATGAATATTTTTTATCCTACATATTTCTGAGCACTTAACTTCCCTAGGCGTAAGAATAATGACGTACTCCTATATTAACAGATAAACTCAGAAGAAAAAGTTTCCCACAGATAACAGACTTTCATAGTTTAAATTAAAATCCTCAAGAATGAAAATAAAAAAAAAAGGAAGAAAAATATAAATTTGAGGTTAACACATGTGTAAGATATTCAAAAGTAGCAGGTAGGTTTACCCTTATCCTGTAACTTCTGGCCTTCTGTCTGACTTTTGCATTCCTAGATACAACTCCACCTGACCTCTGAAGTTTCACAACATCTACTTTGGGCTCACTCTTAAGCACATCTTTGAGCATGCTGCACAATTTTTCCTATAAGAGGTTCAAAGGAATGACTGAGACACTGAGCTTCTACAGAATGCAAGAATTACTAACATGTACAAGGAAAGTATGAAATTTTAAAAATATGATAGTGGGGATCATTGGAACTGTCTCTCAACGCATAACTAATATAGAATATGAAATGATGCAAATGTTAAATAGTACATAGTATATAGATGCAAGGCACACACCTGACCTAAAACCAAGACAACATTGGCCTTGAATGTACGAATTGCATGCAAGAGCAACTGCAACAGACACACACAAGAAGAGAGTGAGCAAGGAAAGAGCACTATAATCAAAATTAGCAGTAAGTTACACGTCGGAATTGTGATTAGTTTAACAATCATAAGGTGAAGTTCACAGGCGAATTACATCATAGCCTACTCCTTCTATCCATCCCATAGTATTTATCACCATGCCCGAAGCTCGAGATTCAGCATTTCCAGTAAATTGTCTCTCAATCATCCCTGAAAGCTCCTTGACAAGCACTTTATACAATTCTACGTTGTTGCTGAAAAAACAAATACATTCAGATTGGATTTTCATTTCCTTAATGTGCTACCAATAATTTAAAAATCTTAAATCAATGAAAGTTCTTATATAATTTTGGCAATGTATGATAGAGGTTACATCAGCTATACCTTGGAGTTGCATGCCCGTAAAAGTATACAAGAGGCATTTCAAGTGGAATACCTTCCACAGGATCAATGGGCATTTCAATTGGAGTGGCAGCAATGCATCCAGGAATTGTTATAGAGCCTTGGCCAATATCCAAGTCAACAAAGGTAGGTTTCCAACCTTGTTTAGCCGCCCAACTAAGAAGCATCCTGGACAAGGTACTCTTTCCAGAATCAGTAGGCCCTACAACAATGACCCTAGGACCCTGAAAAACAAAATTCACATACAACAAGCTTTACAACTTACACATGAAAGAATAGCATCTGAATCTATGATAAAATCACAAACTTTCAAGTCTATCAGCACAATTTACTTAGAATAGAGCATTGTTTTTGACAGTTCATGTTAACATTGAAAATTATAAGTCACACTAAGTAACAACAAAAACTTATCATGAGAAATCCAAGCTTCTAAAATATGTCCATGGCCACAATTTTGGCCCCAACATCAAAGTTTTAAGGGACTCCGCCTCCACAACGAAACCACAACAGTGTCAATAGGATTTGTCAGCAATTTCCCATAATATCAAGGAAAGGGACATAACCACAACCCCGATTTAAAATCTTTTGTCAGCCATCCAGACAATCAAGCAAAAAGCACGAGAAAATACCTGAGAAAATTCAAAATCATCAGGTGATGAAGCTTTGGCACGACTTCTTCTTCCATCCAGTATGGCATGCACATTTACATAGCTTACCATGGGAGTCTGCACTCAAAAAGTTGTATTCTCCGAATCACTGATTTCTCAAATAGTGTCATGTTTATTTTCTTGTTCTTTTCTTGCCATACCAACAAGTTAGAAAGGAAACATTCAATAAGGCTACTACAATGGCTTACCTCATCGGCAGTGTAATCAGTTTCAGTAGCTCCGTCCATTTCAATGGTCGCACCAAACCAAGTAAACACCTGCCACAACACAAAGTAGCATTCCCCTTATCAAAAGAAAAAAGAAAGAAACGTGAACACAACAAAGAACTTGATTAATAGAGAAGTTACAGCGAACTTGAGTCTGGGAGGGAAATTGAGCCAGATTTCGGGAGGAAGCTCGGTGCCGAAAATTTCAGCAGTTCCGTTAAGGAGACGAAGGCGAAGTGGTGCGTCGTTACCCACTTCTATTCTGAGTTCGCTTTCTCTCTCCAATTTCACTTGCTTAATGGTGGATGCAGATCCCGAACCACCCACAGGACCTGCACCACCGTAAGCCATTTTCTTTTCGTCTCTGAAACTCCAATTTCACTTTTTTTCTGCTTCGAATCAAATTGGTATGGCGTTAGGGTTTGCAGATGGGACAGAAAACGAAGGGAAAGGGCAAGAAATAAGAACAGAGAGTATAGGAGTTACTGGAAGAAGATGAAGAGTCTGATAAATTAAGTTTTTAAAATTAAATTATAAAGTTATTACTCTCAACTTTATATTACCAAACACGTTTTTTTTTATTCTAGTAAAAATTTATTAAACTATAATTTTTTATTAAAAATAGTTCTAAAAATAAATAATTATTTAAATTTTACAAATAAATATTAAAGATATGAATTAATTATATTAATTTACAAAATAATTAAATTTAAATTAACTGTTATTAAAAGATAAAAATAAAATATAATTATTTTAGATTAAAATAACAGTTACTTTGTAATTAGTATATAAATATGTATATATACGAAAAAAATTTGAATCCCTCCATATATGTATAAATTATTTAGTATTATAGTATAATATATAATAAACTACTACATATTTA